ATATTGCAGGCCAATGAGACACAAATAAATATTTGTGTCAATTGAATGTTATCTTCTTGGATCGAGGTCTGGAAATTAAAATGCGAACCTTTGGAAATTATTGAATTTATGACCCACATTGGTTGCTGATTGGAAATTGGGTATTAATCAATTTTTATTAACTGTCTTTAGCTAATGCTTTTTAATTTATGTTGATCATATTTTGATAACAAAATTTATAAAAACTGTAACAAAGGTCTGAATCTATCATAGCATGATTTTGAAACCATTGTCCGGTTTATATTCAGCAAATTTATATATATTTGAAATTCTGCAAAAGGGATTGGCAGAACGAAGGTTAGTAGACAGACAGTGTTCTCGAAAAAAGTGTGTCCAGCTATTATTATATGAATAAATTTGTTAAAAATAAATTTTTTTTTTGTTGATATATTTATTTCTTGATGGATCATACCCATTTATCAAATGAACTTTTTTATTTTTTTTTAAAAAGTATTCATAAAAAGATAAAATTCAATTTTTTATTCAGTTTAACAACAAACTTAGTTAAATTTTATTGAAGGCCGAAATTTTAAGTTTGAGAATGATAGATTAACTCAATACCTTTTTTTTTTAAAGAAATAATTTAAAAAATTATATAACCTCGAATTTGGGATTGAATATTTTTCATAAATACAGGTGTCCATAAAGTTCGTGTGCACTTTAAAAAATTTATAACTTTATTTGTATTTGCGATAGAAATAATTTGTAAAAAGGATTAGAAAAAGTAAATCTATATTTTTTAAGGTTTTATTGAAATTTTATTTAAGTTTCCACATGTCCTCCATCATTAGCAATACAAAAAGGGTAATACGATTTTGCAGTTCACGGAAAATTTTGCCAACTGATTTACAGTAATGCCTGAAATCACAAATCACAGTTATTTTAGCTATACTTAAAACTAGGTACATTAAACTTTATAACATTTTTTACAGATTATTTCTATCGCAAATACAAATAAAGTTATAAATTTTTAAAAACACAAACTTTATGGACACCCTGTATTTAAATATAAAATGAAGATATTTATATAAATTATGGAACATTTATATATTGATAAATTTTTTAAAAATAAATAAAAATTTTTTTATGTTGTTATCAAGAAGATTTATTTTTTTAAAATATAATTTTCATCTGAATAATCCGACTATAATATTTTTTGATTAAAATCTTTTAATATTTTGAAAATCTTATATGTAAAAAAAAACATATTTAAGCAAATCATATTGTTTTAAATCATTTTATATTTTGAAAATAAAAAATTTTCACTGAATATCGTTAAATATAGTTCTATTTTTAGATTATCTTTTTCGAATTATAACTTTGGTAGCATGTATATCATATGCCCAATTTAAAACTTCAAAAAAATATCCTGTATATATATAATAAATATAAATATTAATATCTATCTAATCATCTAATATATAAATATATATTACTTCTCGTTCATTTTGAAATTTTTTTAAATTGTCAAAATGTTTTATTTTAAGGCAAATTTTTATATACATATCTAAAAAAGCAATTTTTTAACAAATTTTTATTTTTTCTGTTAAAAAAAAATTTTTTCTCCATAGATTTTTTCAAAAAAAAAAAAAAGCTGATGCCTCAAATTTAAAATGAATATTTTATATAAAAGAACTCTGTATTTAAGGAATTTTATAAATTCAGTTTGATCTTGGGACATGCTCAAAACATCTTTTCTGGACAGGCGGATGATATATATTATTTTATTTTAAATTTCTAAATATATATATTATATATATATATATATATATATATATATATATATATATATATATATATATATTGAAATTTAAAAATCCTATAAATTATCTTTAGACATTTTTCATTTAATTTTTTTTGTATCTTTAAAATAAAAAAAAAATATCTTAAATATATATATATATATATTATATATATATATATATATATATATATATATATTTCTATTTTTCTTTTCTATAATGCTGTCCCTTCAAAGATATTTGTTGATCATTGTTTCCAATATTCTTTCCTGTTCATGTATAATTCTATATTAAAATCCTTTTTCTTGATAAAATTTTTAAATTTTCCATTTCATCTTAATGTTTAAAAAAATTTTGCCTTTAAATGGAAATATTTTTTTCTTTAAGAACTTGAAACTAATTTTTCTTTTTCCAAAAATTTTTCCTTTAATTCTCAAAAGTTCATCTTTTTCACTTGAATCTAATAAATTTTCCTTTTTTTCCATTGTCTCTTTTTACATTGTTTTTGATCATTTTTTTCTTTCTTATTCTGAATCCTTCTAAGAATTTTATTTTCTCTTCTTTTATTTTAAAACATATTCATTTCCACTGTGATTTTTTATTGTCCAGCATTCACTGCTATATAGGAGGATTGATTTTATATATAGCAGTTCAGAATTTTTTTTTTTGTTTCTCTTTGCATTCAAGTCTCCTCTTCATCTGAATTTGAAATTGTCCAGCATTCACTATTTATATATAGGAATTTGATATTATATAGCAGTTCAATTTTTTTTTTTTGTTTCTTTTGCTTCAAGTTATCAATTTTTAAAAAATTGTCCAAATTTTCACTTCATAGAGGAGGATTGATAACATAGCAGTTCAAACACATTTTTTTGTTTCCTCTTTTTTAATCTTCAAAAGCTCCTCTTCATCTGAGATGTTCTTAAAAGTCCATAGAATTCACTGCCATATAGGATAATATTGATGTTAATTTTTTCGTTTCATTTATTTTTAATTATCAATCTTGCTTCAAGTCTTCTTCATCTGAGATGAAATTGTCCAGCATTCAAAGCCATATAGGATGATTGATTTACATAATGAAAGCACTCTTTTCTTTTTTTTTTCTTTTTTAAAAGTCTCAAGAATCTTTTTCTGTTCTCAGGAATTGTCCAAAGCATTCACTGTCATATAGGAGGATTGATATTAATAGCAGTTCAGCACTTTTTTCTTTTTTCTTTAATTTTCTTTTCCTCAATTCTTTCTTTCATCTGTTTTAAATTGTCCAGCATTCACTGTCATATAGGAAAATTGATTCTACATAAAAGTTCATCACTTTTTTTTTTTTTTTCAAAAATTTTAGTCTTTTCTCTTCATCTGAGATGAAATTGTCCAAAATTCACTGTTTTATAGGAACATTGAAATTACATTTGTAATTTCATCTCTTTTATTGTTTCATTTGTTTCGTTTATAAAAATTTTTGAAATTGTCCAGCATTCACTGCTTTTATTTGGAAATTTTGACACATAGCAGTTCATCACTCATTTCTTTTTTTCTTAGCTTCAAGTTTAATTTTCATTTTTCATGAAACAAAATTTTGAAATTCAAATTAATAAGTTTATTTCTCATGTAAATTGATGTATTAATATACAACTTTACCTATTTTTTTTGTTTTTCTGAATTGTAAGTCCTTTTCATCTGTGACAAATAAAAAAATGTCCAGCATCCAAATTAATATAGAGGATTTATTACATTTTAATATCATTTTTTTAAATTGTTTCTGAAACGATCAAGTCTCCTCTTCATCTGAGATGAAAAAAGTCCAGTATTCACTTACCATATATGGAAATATTGATTAATTATATAGTTATTCATCATTTCAATTTTTTTTTTAGTTCCAGATTTTCGTTTCTTTCATCTGTGATTGATCCAGTCCAGATATTCACTTTTTCATAGGAGGATTGATATCACATAGAAAGTTCAATAAAAACTTTTGTTTCTGTTTTGTTTTCAAATTTTGATTCCTTTTGTTTGATTCTACTGTTTAAAATTGTTCATTCACTGCCAAATATTTATTTGATTTATTATACAATTTCATATATTTTTTTTTTGTTTCATGGCAAAGTATAAAAATTTCCAACTTCTTGAGGTTAATTGTTGAAAAACTTTTCCATCATAGGAGGATTGATGTTACATATTAGTTGTTATCAAATGAGTTTTTTTTTTTTGCAATTTAAGATTTTGTTATGAATTTTGAACCAAATTTCTTTTGTCCATTTTATTTTTATTTTTATTTTAAATTTTTTGATATTACATTTTTCTTCATTATCTAATTTTAAACTGCTTCTGGATTTTAAATTTTCCCATTTCATCAAATTAGGAAATTTATCCATCATTGAAGTTTGCCTATTTGGATTTTGTATATATATCATTTTTTAGATAAACATTTTTTATTTTCAAAATTCATTTCCTTTTTTTAGAAATTTGATTTTATTTCTTTATTTTATAGGATTTATATTAATCTGGTTTATTTTTTTCTTTAGTCTTTTTTTTTCCATACAGTTTCATCTGTGATTGTTCCTTTATTCGTTTACAATTTTTTTCATTTTTTTTTTGATTTAAAATGAAAAAAAAAAATGTTATACATTTTTAGGTAAATAAATTTTTTCGTTTTGAAAATATCATGTATTTCAACAATTTTTTTTTATTTCTTTAAGATGATGAACTACATTGAATGATTAATGAATTTAATCTAACCCTTTTTTTCAATGATTGCTGAATTTCATCCAACTTTCAATTATATCTTTTTGATATGATAGATGTTTTTGTTTAATAAAATAATCAATTCTTTTCAGAGCAAATATTAGCCAACTCTATTCATGAATAGTTTATTATTTAAAAGATTTAAACAATGCAAATTGTTGAAAACAGTAAAAAGTCAAGATGGATATTTATCAATAAAATTTTTTCCAAAAAACACATTTTTTTTCATATGCTTTTATACATATATAATGTAAATTTCAAATCATAACAAAAATGACAATGAAAAAATCATATCTTTATTGTGGATTTTTTGAATTAAATAAAAAGAATAGAAGTTTATAATTTATTTGAACTGTTATTATTATTATTTTGATTAATATTGAAAATGAATATTATATTAATAAATATTTTATTTTATATACATTTGAATAATTTAACATGAAAAGTACAACTCAAAAAAAACTCAGAAAAAATATGGACTTTTATTCCATATTGAATCATGTGAAAAGATTATTAGATTGATAAATTTCTTTTTGAAAAGAAACAATAGATACTTTTTCAGAAAAAAGAAAGGAATATAGATAGATAGATAGATAGATAGATAGATAGGATCAGATAGATAGATAGATAGATAGAATAGATAGATTAGATAATAGATAGATAGAATGAATGTTGTCATTCTTTTTTAAAGCAGAATAACTCATTATCCCATAAAATTCTTAGTCCGTTTTATTTAGATAAAATTAAAAAATTTTTCAAATTTCAATTCATTTTTTTCTACCAAAAAGAAACAAATATCCTGAAATAAAAGAAATTTGAATAAAAAAAACCCTGATGAGAAAAATTTAATAAAAAATAAAGAAATTTAATGACAATTGAAATAGAAATTTTCAAAGAAAATTTAAGAAAGAAAAAATTTAAAGAAAAAAAAAATTTTTTGAATTCTAAAAATAAAAAATTTTTTAAAAAAAAAAAAATTTTAAAAGAAATTGTATCTATAAAGATATTTGGGTAAAAAAGAAAATAAAATGAAAAAAAAAAAATTATTTTTCGAGATAAAAATGTTCTTTTTTGTTTCCTTTAAATAAAGAAAATAAAGAAAGAAAGAAATTTATAAAGAAATTATTTAAATTTAAAATTTTTAAAAAAAAAATTTAAGAAATAAAGAAAGAAATAAGAAATAAAAAAATCTCAAGAAATAAATAAAGAAATTCATTTTTTCAGCTTTTAAATGGAAATAGATTGGGAAAAAGTGCAGTTTCTTTCAAAATTTGAATGAAAAATTTCATTGATATATTTAAATAGAAAATGTAAAAAAATAAATTAAAAAATTGAAAAAAAGAAAGTTCAAAAAAAAAAATATGGAAATATATATGATTTTAAATAAATTTAGAAAAAAAATTTTGAGAAAAAAGAAAGAAAGAAAAATAAAATTTTTTTTTAAAAAATAAAAAAAATGAAATCTTGCAATGTATTTAAATGTTGAGGGATATGGGAAAAAAAATAACAAAAAAAATGTAACAAAATTAGAAATGAAAAGAAAAAAAGAATTAAGAAAGAAATAAAAATTATATAAGAAAGAAAGAAATTATTGCAGGTTTTTTGAATAAAAGAATTCTAAGAAAGAAGGAAAAAAGAAAAAAGGAAGAAGAGAAGATTGATGTTATTTAAAGTATTAATTTTTTGTATAAATAGAAAATAATTTCAATTTCAAATCTTTTTCATTTTACGATCTACTATTTCTTTTTATAAATGAAAAAAAATTCAAATTAAATTATTAAAAATTTTAAAAATTTTTTTTAAAGCTGAATAACTCAAATATTTAATGATGTGACAGGGTAATTTCTTCGGATATTTCAATTTTATCTTATAACTCATAATGATTTTTTTTAAAAATATTAAGATCAATTAAAATTATTAATAAATTAAATAGGAAAACAGTTAATTTTTCATTCATATGTTGTTGTTGTTCACGAATTATTATTTATTATTATTATAGGATGTGCGTTGTGGTTTAATGGATATCGGTTCAGTGAAATGATCCTTACAGGTGCAGTATTTGAAAATAAGTTCAATGTATTCAAATAACACATATTCTTTACATCATTTTTGTATGCTCTATAAGTAGTCCACCAACAGCAGTGGTTTACCTATTTCACGTCGCTGGCGAGTATTGTATTTTGTTGATGTTATAAAGATTACCATTTCATTTCCAAATTCCGCTTTTGGTTATTCCTCATTCAGTAACCCTTCCTAGGATACATTTTTTCAACGAGGACGAGATAATTCAAATTTAGTAAATTCCAAAAGAAAAATTTTTGTTATATACTGACAAAAATATGAAAACCATTAAATTTTTAACATCAACTATTTTTCAAATTTATGTTTAAAGTATTGTAAAAAATTAAAAATGTAATAAATGTTGTTAAAAATGTAAAGTTTTATTATTAGCATCGGTTTAATTAAGATAAGGAAATATTGGTATTTTTGTAATGGCATAATAAAGATTTTCTTATTTACAAAAGTAAATGATTTTTTAAATAAATTTCCTTTTAGGTGCCCTATTTTTTTTATGCCTTCATTTATTCCGAGAACGCTTTAAAAAATCAATTAATTGGTTTTAAATTTCAATTGGGAACTGATTAAATATTTTTTTTTTTAAAACTGGTTGTTTTGAAATACAGAAAAAAATGCTTTTGAATAACCTTCTTAGGGTTTTTGCCCTATTTAAAATCAAACATTCATTTTTATTATTTGTCACATATTTATATTTTGCCATAATGTAAAATATTTTAAAAAAATCATGAATTAATTTTTAAATAAAATTTTAATTGTTACCTATGAAACACTAATGAACCATGTCCTAATCCTCATAAATACGTTGGACACTATTGTAAGTGGGGTAATATGCTGTCTAAGTAGTCCACCACTAGCAGTGGTTTACCTACTTCACGCCGCTGGCGAGTATTGTATTTTGTTGATGTTATAAAGATTACCATTTCATTTCCAACCTCCGTTTTGGTTATTCCTCATTCAGTAACCTTTTCAGGGTTACAACAAGCACAAATATCTTTATAAAAAATTGAATTCAACTATTAAAAAAAAAGTTATTAATTAAATAAAAAAACAGAAAAGGTAAAATTTTAAAAATTTTAAAAAAAAAAATTGCCAAAATGGCAACCTTTTGAAAAAAAAAAAAATTTAAAAAAGAAGCATTTTCAAAAAAACACAATTTTTAAAATTCCCAATCATTTTGGCAAAATTGATGGATTATTATTAACCTTTTTTTAAATAATCTTCATTCACGAATTTTTCGGTAAAAAAATAAAATTTATTTTCACAGATTCTGATGTTATTGATATTACACATTTTTTTTCTTGATAAAAATCAGATGACTTCATTATTCAATCAAATTATAATTTTGTCAACAATAAAGAAATTTCTGACAAAATCAAAAATTTTTTTTTTTTTTGCTTATCAATACATTTTATTTATCGTATGAAAGGATTTTTTAATTTTTGTAAAAAAAGGGATGATTATAATGGGACATTCATTTGTTTGACATACATATTTTATTTAATCATGACACAAATCTGTTTTTTATTACATAAAATATAAAATTTGTTTGAAAATGTCTAAAAAATATATATAAATAATTATTTTATAATAACTTAAAATAATATCATTGAAAAATAAACTATCTAAGATATGATGTAAATATGTATGTAACGAATGCACGGCCGCAATTTTCGACGGATTTGCACCAAAATTTATTTGCACATGCTCCAATTAAAAAAACATGAATCAGACATTGCATTTCCCAATTCCCATCAATAATCGAAATAATCGATTTTTTTCATGCTTCTTGGCATTTTTTGTAGTTTGCGGCCATTTTCTACTGGCCAGATCAAGAATTTATAACTGGCTGCCACGAATAGGCAGGAAGATTCTATTTTTTTTGAGAGCCAACAAAACTGACACGAATGAATGCATGCTATTCAAAAAAAAAATAGATATGCATTTCGTCACAATGGGAAAAATTTAAATCTGCATGGCACTTTATCCAATTGGCTCATTCGACTTGCTTTAACTTTAACGTTGATTCTGATTCCGCAGAACTGGGTTGGGTTGAAAAAAGTATTTGTTGTTAACATTCTTTTTCATTCAGTTTTTCCAGTTACGAGTCCTTTTTAAAGCTGATCGTTTTGTGTTCATTTTGTTTAGTTCTTTTTTAACAGATTTAATGTTTAGGATAGAGCTTAGAAAAAAAATGCAGTTTGAGATAGACAAAAGTAAAAGGCATGTAGCAAATATCAGTTACGGCAAGGGCACTCTTTAAAAAATTTTAAAAGGGCAAAATATTATTTTAAAATCAAGTGATAGGATTGCTGTATGACAAATATGATTTTGATTCAAAAATTAAATTTTTTTTTTATATTTTTATATATATATATATATATAAAAAATAGGTTTAAAATATTTTGTCACATCTGCCTGAGTGATGCTTGTATATGAGATCCAACCAACCGATATTTTGACCAAATTTGAGCATATATATTAATAAAAATATATTAGATATATTTTATAGCGTAAAAAATTATATAATTAAAAAAAAAAAAATCAATAAAAAATGATAAAGCCAATCAAAATTTGATATAATTTAATTTTTTTTTTCGATTTTTGTTCAAACTATTCCATTAATTCAAATTAGATAATTTTTTGAGAGCTATACGATAAAAAACATTTTTTATTTCTACATATGTTTTATTGAAAAAAAGCCTAAAAAAATTAAATATATATTTTTAAACAATTAATAACTAAAAATATGTTTTTTTTTAATTAATCTAATACAAACTTCACTCAATTTTAGAAAAAATAATGCTGATTGTTTAACAGTCATTTAACTTGATTTAAAATGATAATTGATTCCATATATATAAAAATAATATTTTAAAAAAAAATATTTTTATTTATTTATTTTTTTTTTTTTTTGATCTTTTTTAAATTTTCATCAAACTTAAAAATTGCTTTATAAAATGTCCTGTTTTTACATCTTTTGTCAAGACAACACTGAAAAATTGAATTTCAAAAAAAACAAAATAATTGTGGTCTGAAATGAGTCTTCATGTTGCCTGTTTTAAAATTTTCATGTCCTCGGCTAAGGCATTCGATTGAATAAATATTTAAAAATAAAAAACTTTTATATCAAAAACTGCATTAATTCAAAAATGTTTTTTAATGAAAGTACTTTAAAGTAATTTTTTCATAGACAAATTACATCTAAACATGGTGCTAATTTTTGCTCCATTTTAATTGAAGGCTTTTTTGTCATGCTGATAATGAAGATAAAACATAAAAATCATAATTTCCTAAATAATGATTTTTGAAAATAATTTTATAACATTAATGATTAAAAAATAATGATAATAAAAATTTTAAAAATATATATTAAATATAATGTATTATTGACCTCATAATACTTTTTTTCGAAATAATGGTTAAAACCACTTAAAATTAAATAGAATTTATGTTTACTTTTATGTGAATTTGATCCTCAAGGTGCCCAAATAATTTTCGGCTTTTTAACAAAATTTAAAAGCGTTTTTTTAGATTTTCCGTTCAAATATGTTTTTTAAAAAAGTGAATTCCAAAGAAAAACTGTTTAAAAAAAGTCAATGTGGTGGGTCTAAAATAACCGTATGGTAAAAAGAAATTTTTTTTTACATAAAGTCTTTGTTTTAATTAAATTTGTTAGAATTAAAAGTTATGTATGAAAAAAGAGTAAAAATTTTTTTTTTATCATATTTCTTTATAAACTTTAGTTTTAGATAAAATGTCTCTCTTTAGTGGCTGATTAGGTCCAAATTAGTAAAATTGAAAAGGCCATTAATCACCTCTTAATTTGTTATCTTTAGTAATGGTAAATATTACGAAGAAATTTCAGAAAAAGATAAAGAATTTAAAAGGATTAAAACAAAAGTAATATAAAGTCCATCAAAGAGAATTAAGAAATGTGAAAATAAAAATTTAAAAAAATATTAATAATGTCCATTTAATTTTCCTTCTTCAGCTTAACAGATGAAAAATCTGAAAAATCGGACTTTTCATATAAACTAATTTTTAAAAAATTTTATCTAAAAAATGAAAATTAATATTTCTTTATTTTAAAAAAAAGAAATATTCCAAATTTTCAATCTGAAAAAAATAATGATTTTCATTAACGTTTTTTCTGAAAAAATCTTTATTAAAAAAATAATTACATTTCTTCTTGAAAAAAAAATATTATTCCATATAATTGAAAAAAGAGTAACAGAAAAATTTCCAAGATTGCCTTTTATCAAAAAAATATTTTAAAAAATGAACTTCTGTAGAACGATTTTAATTAAAAAACACAAATAAATTTTTTAAAAAATTTAAATTTATAAATGTTAATATAAATTGAAACATCAATATAAAAAAATAAAAAGACAATAATTGAATAAAATATTAAGAATATATATAAAATCAAAACCCATGATTAATGTAAAAATACCTGCTTAACAAAATAAGAAATTGACAGGGAAAAATTTGGAGATAACTGAATCCATTAGACAAAAAACGTTGTATACAGTCTACCTCAAATGAGCGAAATAAATGGTTGATATACATACACACCATTTAAATTAACGGAGCGTTTTAAGCATTGAAATTTAAATATTTTTACAAAGATGAGGACAAAATTTTAATAATGTCAATAGTGTTTAAATTGTCCGTTTTAACTAAATTTTAAATTTATTTTACATGGCAATTCTATTAAGAGATAAAAAATGGAAAATTTAGGAAACATTTGAAAATTGTGGTCACTATTTTGATATAAATTATATTTTTAGATTGAAAAAATTCGGAAATTACCATTTGAATAAATTGATAGATTTCTATTGCATTGTTGCATTTTTATTTCTGATTCCATCAAATTTCTGTTGTGTTTAAAAGAAGACAGAACCTACATTCCTTTTGGAAAACCAAAACAAAATCAATTTTTATTTTTATTTAAACATTGTTTTTTTGATTTTTAGTTCCAATGAGGATATTTTCTGTAAAAAATTTTAAAATTCGGTTGAAATAAATAAAAATAAAAATGTAGTCAATGTTTTGAAAAAACGCGGCCAAATAAAAATATTTAATTTTAAAACAATTTTATTATATCCTGTTTCTTGATACAGTAGAATCCCTCATATACGAAATCCCTCATATGCAGAGTGCATCATATCTGGAATCCCGCATATCCGGACATGATTTTGATGTGTATATTTGAACTATTTGGAGGATATGTAACTGATTTAAAATTTCTGTTTTTCAGGAAATTTACTTTGGATAATTGCCTATGCTTATTTAACCCTAATGGCTTGTATTGGTACAAAAGATGATGGGGAAAAAGAGGAAAAGAACAACTTTGGAGTTATCGCAAAAATTGGAAATTTTAAACAGACTAGATGCTGGTGAAAGTTCATTGTTGCTGTCACTTTCTTCATTCATGGCTGAGTTCAAAATAGGAAAATCAGCATTGTATGATATAAAATCATCCAAAGAAACCATTCTCCAGCGTTCACACTGACACAATGAACAAGGAAATGAAAAATATGATTATGATGAAACCTGGATTGAAATTGAAAAAGCTATTGAAAAGGTTGTCAGTTTTATGGAAAGAAAGCCAGCATTCAGCTATGACGATTGCAATAACGCACGCAGAGTTAAAAAAGTGTCTTTCGTTTAAAAAAAAATTTCAAGAACAAAAAAAAAAAACAAAAATGCAGAAAAAAAATTGAGAATGACATTAGAAGAGAAAAGAATCATCATGCAACAGCGATTAAAAAAAAAAATCCTCGTTACATTATTTGTTTTGCATATGTGGCATACTTAATTTCATGAATTTTCATTAACATTACATAATTTATTTCTTTTTCCTTAAAATCAATTCCGTTATATTTCACTCACCATTAGCTTATTTTGTTTACTATAAAACATTTCAGTTCTTTTATTTTAATCTAAATATAAACCCTCATATCCAGACTTTGTAGCCAATTCTTCATATCCGGAAGGCCTTCTTAGTCTGGTTGTCAGGGATTCTACTGTAGTAAATAAAATTTCATCGTTTAAACAGCGATATTAGAATTATAGAGAAAATTATTGTTTCATCTTTTGAAATTCTGATTTCCTATCTAATATTTAAGATTAAAACATTTTAAACCTTAATTTGTTCAAAAATTGAAATTTCTTTCAGAGGAAAAACTGTGCGATTTAATTCAAAAACCAAAAAAGACGCCAGTTAACCATCAAACATTGGGACTCAGTAGTAGATTCTAAATTCTCCTAATATTCTAGTCTGTCCAAAAATGTTCTTGCACCCAATATATAAGGAAAAAAATAACAGGACTTTATTGTAATAATAGTATTGAATTATATTAATGCAGTAAAAGAATATTGCAGTTATTTAAGGTCAAGAAGAATTGAAAACCTCATCATATCAATCTCTTCACGTTGGTGGTGTTTGAATTGCTTGAATTTTGTTTATAAAATTACCAGGTTAATTGAACATCACTTGTTATTGTGAATAGAATAATAACAGCCAAAATAAGACGAGAATCACTAAACATTACTCCATACCAACTGAAGAGGAACCATAGTAAATAAATAAATTGTCATTAATCAAAGAAAGAAAAAAGAAAAGCTAGAAAGAAAGAAAGAAAATCAAAGAAAAGAAAGGATGATTGAAATGAAAGAAAGATGAAAATGACTAGAAAGAAAAAAGAAAATTGAGAAAATTTAAAGAAAAACAAAAGAAAGAAAAAAAAAAAAAAAAGAAAAAAAGAAAATAACTCTTACAAAGGATGACTGAAAAATTTAAAGAAAGGATGACTGAAAGAAAGAAAAAACTGAAAAAAGAAATTAAGAAAAGGATGACTTTGCAAAAGAAAGGAAGAAAGAAAAGAAAGAAAGAAAGGATGACCCCTTAAAAAATTTTTAGAAAGAAAAGAAAGAAAGAAAAAAAAAATAAAGAAAGAAAGAAAAAATGACTGAAAGAAAAAAAGAAAGAAAAAATAGAGAATGAAAGAGAGAAAGAAAGGAAGGTAAAAGAAAAAAAAAAAGAAAAATAGAATTTCGAAAATTAAAAAAAGAGCTTCAAATTTAAAAAGAGCGAAAGAAAGAAAGAAAGAAAGAAAGAAAGAAAGAAATAAAAAGAGAAAGAAGGGAAGAATGAAAGAAAGAGAGAAAGAAAGGAAGAAAAAGAGAAACCATGCATTCCATCTTTTTGCAATTGCTGTTTAGTCCTTACTATTCGTATCCCATCATAACCTTCTGAAGGAGATCTTGAACCTTCCTTTCTGCCTTTATAAACTGTCAACAATGTGTCATCTACATATTTTATGTTGTTAAACAAATTTCGTTCAAAATATTCGTGAGAAAAAAAAGAAAAGATTATTGAACTATTTGGTAAGATCTCTAATCTGATAAAAATGGCAGTTCATGTTGAATAAAATAGATCTATCTCATGTAAGATCATTCATCTTCATCTATTTCAAACAGGTGGCATTGGAAAAGACCTGTTATGTCGAAAAAGAAGGAAAAAATTGAAAAACCTTGCCAACCCATAGGAGATGCATTACTATGGCCTAGGGTAACATCTGACTTTTAGATAGATAGATAGATATGATAGATAGATAGATAGATATATAACTCATTAAAGACAGAATAGATAGATAATTCAACTGACTGAGATAGATAGATAGATAGATAGATAGATAGATAGATAGATAGATAGATAGATCAAAACATCTGAGATTGATAGATAGATGGCGCTAAGATTGATAGATAGATAGATAGATAGATAGATAGATAGATAGATAGATAAAACTGACTGAAAAAGATAGATAGATTAATAGATAGATAGATAGATAGATATTAAATGACTTGAAATAGATAGATAGATAGATAGATAGATAGATAATCATAGATAGATAGATAGATAGATAGATAGATTTAACCTAACATGACTGCAAATAGATAAATATTAACTGACTGAAATAGATAGATAGATCATTTTAACTGACTGATAGATAGATATATAGATAGATAGATAGATAGATAGATAGATAGATAGATAGATAGATAGATAGATAGATCAAAAAGTCTGAGATTGCTAGATAGCTTGGTAGAAATGAATAAATAGATAGATAGATAATAGATAGATAGATAGATTAAATAGGCAATAGATAGATAGATAGATAAAAAGATTTAAATAGATAGATTGTCCCAGAATTAGATCCATGGATAGAAAGAGATAGATAGATAGATAGATAGATATTTATTAACTGGACTGAAATAGAATCGATATTAAATTGACTGAAATAGATAGAAAGATAGATAGATAGATAGATAGATAGATAGATAGATAGATAGAACCGTCTGCTAATGAATATTAAAAGACTGAAATAGATAGGATAGATATTAACTGACTCAGATAGATAGATAGATAGATAGATTTTAAAAGATAGAATAGATAGATAATTCCAGATAGATAGAAATAAAACAGACTGTAATTGATAAGATAGACTTGGTAGAAACTTTAGATAAACGATTTTAACTGACTGAAATAGATAGAAAGATAGATAGATAGATAGATAAAAGAATAAACATAGATAGAAATAGATAGATTTGATAGATAGATAATAGAAAGATAATAACAATTTCCTTGATAGATAGATAGATAGATAGATAGATAGATATAGATAGATAGATAGATGGGAAATCATTTAAAATATTGATAGATAGATAGATAGATTGATAGATAGATAGATTTCCCAGATAGATAGATAGAAAGAAAGATTATGTTCTGTATTACCAGTGTATTTCTATTTTTTTAAAATCAGAAGTCTATCAGACTTATTGAAAGGAAAATAAATTAGATTTCCCCGTCTTTCACAACGTCAATGACGCCATCTTAGGAAAATAAATAAAACAGAAATGAATTTCATTATTTGCATGTTATAGAAAGAAATAAAAATAACTTAATTTCCTTAAACTAAAATTGCATCCTTAGGACGAATAAATTGTCATTAAATTTGATGCAAAGAAAAGATTTATTTTCGGATGCGCCGGTAGTCCATCGTTTGAAACTCTCTGTCTGTGACAGTAGGTGTTTACCATCCGTTTATTTGGTAAAAAAATAGACAGAAGTCCACATCACTGTTTCGGCACATTAACAAAGAGTTGGATATGCATTCTGTAAGAAACCTTAGCCGAAG